TTCCTAAAATGGTATGCAAGTTTCAAGATTTTACAATCTAGTCCCTAAATTTCAACCAAATAAATTCTAAATTTTTAACATTTTATTTTATTTCTAATTTTCTTTAAATTGGGGTGTGATAGAGTTCAAGTATTTAAGTATAAGTTTAAATTGATTTCTTCCGAATAGACATTTTCGGATGATATAAATATAAAAATTAAATATTAAAATCTACTCAATTAACTTTTATATATTTTCAAGCCAATCATGATGCTTAAGTAAACTTGAGGAACTTATCCGATGTTGAAAATTCTACGCACTCCCCCACATCCATTGAATATAAAATAAATAATTTATGTGTGCACTTCATGTCTACTATTTTTAATGTATGCATGATTATCACTAGAATTATTAAATATATTAGAATCTTAAGTCAAACGTGCGATATTATATTATTATACTATGTTTCATTTTATTAAATAAGTTATTTGGTGAAACAAATATTTTAATTCAAAAATTAATCTTAGGGTTTTTTTTTTCTCTTTAATGCGCCGCTCATTCTTTTTCTTGGTTTATCGGTGAAGGTATTAATCATAATATTAATTGTTGATCGTTGGTAGTTTTTTTATTAAATTACATTTTTTTAACTTTTAGTAATATATCTTTATTGTACGTTTCTGATTTTTATCGGTTGTTTGATTATTTTTTTGTTTATAATTTTTAAGGTTAGATTCGACATTGTCTCGACTGATCAAAATGATATTTATTTATTATTATGATGATCTTCTTTACTTTAGACTCTCATATTGGATTTGGATACACAGTTGTATTCGTGGATAGTTTTCTCACGTTGCTCGACTTTGATTTGTGGTTTGTCGATGATCTTTCAGTAATTTAATTTCCTTTTGTGGTTTGATTGTCGGTCGGTCAGATATATATATGTATTTATCTTTTGTTTGAATTATTTGATTGGATTTTTAATCTTTTCCTTATATGATTCTTGTACGATCTCAAGTCATTAGTTTTGTGTGTTAATGGCCATAGAAACATACGTATTTTGTTTACAATTATAATTGTAAACTTTCATTGTAATTCTTAATATTTTCTATTTTTAATAGAACTAACGACTTCCGATGCAAACAAATAATAAGTTATTTGGTAAAAGTGGCATTATATTATACATTATATTTCAATAAAAATTATTATTTTACACTTAAGTGCTGATTTAATATTTTATTTATAATTATAAAAAATAAAAACTATGAAATAATTAAACACTTGAAATCTCAAAAAAATAATTAACTTCTTTTTATATATTTGGACTGTTAAAATGTTTCATGATTTTGGGTTTTTCTTCTTTTAGTTATAGTTAGTTTTTAGTCCCTTAAAATATATATTTTTTATTATTTCGGTCATCAGTTATTTTTGTTATTTTCATATATAAATACTATACTTACTCTTAACGATAAAAAAATATATATAAAAAAGTTCATTAAATAACCATTTCACTCTATTTAGAAGGATACAGATTAATTTATTTAGCTTCAATAAAAATATATATATATAATCTCATTACAATATATGGATTACTATGATGTTTTTTTTAATTAATGAGTGATATCTGATCTATTGACCGACTAATCTAGATCGGATATTGCAGAGACGAAGGCAACCCTCCCAACCTAGTTTGCTCCATTCGCAAACGCCAGGATTTAAAACTTTGACCTTACTTAAGGGACTTAGTGCTTCATCCCATTAGACCAATATGTTGTTGGTGATTACAATGTTACTTTCACCGTTACATTTGTATAATATATACAAGTATTCATATATTTCGACCACACATTTAATTATGTAGAGCTAGATCATTGATTAATTTTATCAATTCTATTATTAAAAAAATATTTATTTGAGAAAATACGTGTAAGTCCGGGCATCCATTTGTTTTTGTCGTTCAAATTGTGAATCACAGTCCACAAGAAGGGCTCTCCTTGATAAATTAAAATTTTGGAGAATTAGAAACCTAAACTTGTAGGACAACCAGTCTTAATTCATACCTAGAAAAACAAATTAAAAGAAACACCTTGGACCTAATCCAATTTTATGTGATTTGTAGCACACCAAACTTTAGCCTAACCAATGTTATGAGACCAACATTTTATCCAAATACTGTTGATTCATGCTTTGAAATCAAATCATAATCTATTTGTAATCATTCTAATGCATGTTAGTTGTCGTTTTTTAATTGGTTGGATACGGTTTTCATATAATGAAACAATATGGTATGGGAAAGTCTAGTCATGTCTTGTGGATACATATAGGAACAGTGAATTCGAGATAAATTTTTCAAACACCGAGTGTTCGAATTACAAAGGACGATTCCTCAGTTCTCTTTCAATGTTAATGGAAAATACATATATCGACAATGATAGACGATAGTCCAAGCTAAAAGAAATGTTAAAATGCCACGTTAGTATTTTATCTAAATTTTAAGGATCAAATTTAAAAATAACTAGGTGCCATGTCATCAAATTAATAGTAATTACCGACTTAATGATCTAATTGTAACAAATTTGTAAGATAAGTTTTAATTTTGGTGATCAAAGTAAGACAATACAAAAACAAAAGTGACCTGTACAATAGTTTACCCATACGTTAAAGAACTATGCTATTGGTTTATTAATTTTTTTTACACATTCGGGTTTATTAATTCTTGTTCAAATGTCATATTTCTACAGATTCAGACACCTTATAATCTTAATATAAATTTCAATAAATTGTCCAAGTGTCCCATTTGAATAGAAAAGCACCTCTAAAAGTACATACCAGACGCCTTTTTCATATAAATTTTAAGTATTTATATCCTACAAAAGAACATTGCCTTTAAAGTTTTCGAGTAGTTGGGGCAACCAAATCAAATAAAATTAGGACATTTGTCCCGTAATTAGATTTATCCCAGAATGTTAGAATACCCTTTATTCCCGAGTTTTGTTTTTAACTTCCGGAATTATAAAAACAATCTTGTTCTATTACGATTAAGCATGCATAACTTAACGCTGCTATAAATCTTAATGTACAGTAACGAATAAGGGAAATCAGCAAAAGAAATAGAAAATGAGTTGAAAAATCAAATTACCCAAACTTGAAAGCGATCCAGGTACACAAAAAGTGACGAGAGAAATAATCCAAGCACACTATTGTAGTCTTACGAAACAAGTAATCCAACCTTCGTCGAAGAGACTAAATCCCACGATAAGTCTTACGAAACAAGTAATCCAACCCTAGTCAAAGAGACTAAATCCCATGATAAGTCTTACGAAACAAGTAATCCAACCTTAGTCAAAGAGACTAAATCCCATATCGTCATCCGACTCTTCTTCAGGTTCTGGTTTCTTCTCCTCCAACGCAGCAGCAGCGGCGGCAGGAGCTGCACCACCACCGCCAGTAGCAGCAACAGGGGCAGCAGCAACTGCAAACTTACTTGGATCCTGGACAACAAGCAAACATTTAGCTCATAATATTATGGTAATTAAAAAACGATGCACCAGATAAAAGAGATGATTACATACCGCAAGGTACTCCTTCACTTTATCAGCCTGAGGGAAAGAATACTCCGTTGCAACTGCAACAGACAAGACATTTTTGTATGCATTGATGAACATATGTGGTGCAGCGGCAAGAGTTGGGTACGAGATGGCAAGAGACAGTGCAGTAACCATGGAGACACCAGTAGCAAATTTCTCGATCAGGTCTTCCTCAGTGAGATCCAGGACCTCAGGGCTAAAGACGGACCCGTTGTCATAAACAGATAAGACAATGAGACCATATGAGAAGGGCCTAATTCCAAGCTTGGCAAGAAGAGCTGCTTCAGAAGAGCCGACCTTCTCACCCTTCTTGATAAGCTCCACAGGGGTGATGATTTCAACAGTACCCTTGTTAATCTTGGTCGGAATGTTGAGCACCTAAAACATAGAACAGCTATGATCAAAACTGAGCACCAACTCAAACAAGTAGGCACATGAAATGAGATGGAACACAACTTCCAAAAAACAGTGACTGTACCTGGAAGAAAGAAGTCTGTGATGGGTCAAGTCCAGTGTTGCCTGGTGGAACAACCACATCAATGGGTGCAACCAGACCGACGCGAGCAGGAGCACCAACCTGTTGATATCAGAACAATGAATTCATTTCACAGAGATGCAAATTCAATAGAAAGGAGCAACTTAATTTAATCACACTTCAAAATAACAAAAAAGCCTAAAATCAATGTGAGTTATATATTTCCTAAATTTTAGCAATCTATACAAAAATTATTGAATGATATAACAATAACCTCGACTTCCTATAACTGCAAATGTTAAACAAATTCATTAATATACATAACAATAACCTCAACTCCCTATGATTGAACATATTAAACAAGTTTATATCTTGTTAAACTATAATAATAGCAACTGTTTTGATCTTCAAGTAATCGCATCATCAAAAAATAAAAAATAAGTGGCAAAATATATTCAAATGTCTATTAGTAAAGTAAATCAACAATATCATACCTTGTACTTGGCAACATCCTCACTGACTTCCTTCAAGTCGCCCTTGGTAAAGATCAAACCAACATTTCCCTGTATCATAAATTCTCAGAAAATCAGTTACTTTGTGTATCAAACACTAAAAATGCAATATTCTATGTAACTCTAAACTACCTGGAGCAAAGGGATGAGGTTAAGAAAAGCCTGGTTCCCGGTCTTCTCAGCATGCATCCTAATCGACCTCTTCATCATGGTGTTCTTACCCATGAGAACAATTGAGTCACCTCGGAGACCTTTGCGGATGTTCTGGAGCTGGTTAGAACCCACGTTGTCGGCGGCGGCGATTAAGATCTGGGTGTACTCGTCTAAGAGTTGGCAAAGCTTCGCATCGTAGGCGACTTTCTTTTCGGCCTTGGTGGGTTTCACTGCCATTTTCTACTGGTTAGTGAGGAAGAAACAACGTGTAAAAGAACAAAATCGAGGGCCAAGACGATGCCGGACGGTCTGTCAAGGCGGACAGGCAAACAACGCCGTCTCTTTAACCTCTTACTGGATTTGAGAATTGTTGATGAAGAAAAACTGGGTTACAGTCGGTTTATATAGAGGGGAACTAGGGTTCTTGTGTTACTTATTCTGGGTTTGAATCTGGTGATTTTCAGCCCATTAATAACACCTTACAAGGTGATCAGAAAATAACCCATTTCGAGTATCAAGAGTTTGAGGCCCAAGATTGAATCTTGAGACTTTTGAGGTCCTGGGATTATCATCGAGGCTCATAGCTGATATTGGATCCAAGATTATTGTTAAATCCTTTGCTAAATGCTTCCTGATTACGAAATGATTGGCGAATCCCACTAAGTTAATTGATGCTTGGAATCTTTATTTTTCAATCCCGAACTTGTTCTTCTGTTGTTCGCCATCATCATTGTGACTCGCAAAGGCGTTCTTAAAGAAGAACAAGTGGGAAATAATTAAGAGCATGGAGGAATCTAAATGATAGGCCAATCTAGGCTTTTTTGCTTATTTTATGCATTCAAAACAAAATCCTCTTGGATGCCTCAAAACATTACATCCTTATCGCCTATGGATAATCAACGTAAAATTATCTTAATGATTCTGGAGCCACCTTAATTGTCCTTAATGACTTAAGGGTCGATTAAGTTAGTACTTAATCATTCTAATGCCTTTTCGCTCCTTCCGCGTTCTGGGTGGCGGGATGCTGCGGTCGTCTTAATGTTAATTCACCAGGTTTGTGGATATCATAGAGACTGATGTTTATGTTATGAACCAACTGGATTGATCAGTTTGGCGTTCTGATTTAACAGTTTATTACATTCGGGTTTGCGTGTATGCCACTGTACTTTGTGTGGGAGAAAGTGGTGGGCATGCATGACACGAAGAGCATATGTTTGAGGGCGGCATGCCGGTTACCGGTGGTGATACCGATATGGTTCTTGGCAATCATATTTCCTTTCTTCGGTCCCATCAATTCGGCTGTAGGATCGCTTCTAGTCAGCTTCACTGTATACATCATCCCTGCCTTGGCTCATATGCTCACTTATAAATCAGCCTCCGCTCGACAGGTGAATACATTAATGGCCCACTTTCTTTATTTCCTGCCAAATACGTGCTCAGCCTGGCTGGCATTGGCGAATGCTTCAATTATATTGCTAGCCTGTCATATGATCTAACCAGTTTGGTAGATCAGTGGTAGGGATTACCCTTTTTCGACCTTAGAGAGGAATCATCGTTGTGTGAATTATTGTCGTGTGTGCAGAATGCGGCCGAGAAGCCTCCTTTCTTCCTCCCTAGCTGGACGGCGGTTTATGCAGTGAACACATTTATTGTGATTTGGGTGTTCGTAGTTGGCTTCGGATTGGGAGGTTGGGCTAGCATGACGAATTTCATCGAGCAAGTCGATACATTCGGACTCTTTGCCAAGTGCTACCAATGCCCTCCCTCGCACTCATTGAAACATCACTGAACTAGAACTCGGATTTTAGACCAAACCATTTCTTTTTGTTACATATAGCAATCTTTTTAAGCATGTATCATACTTTGGTCTGCTATAGTTTATTCTCTCTTTCTGCCTTGCATCCCAAGTAATTAGTGGTTATGGTCAATTGAAGCAAAAGTTGTACTTTTAGGATGACGATGTTCAAAATTGGGCAGTTTCTTCAAAATACTATCATTTTCACTGAATCAAATCATCAAATGTATTCTTAATTGCACACACAAATCAAATCATAAAAAAAAATTGAATTGCAAATTGCATATTAAAGAGGTCTTACACAACCATCATCTTTGGTTGAGCATGCGAGAACGAGTATTTGAATATCTTGTGAATTGAAACATAACATCATTACCAAGCACAACTTTTCCTTGTTTGATTCAAATCCTGAGTTTTTCTATAACCTCTTGGTACTCTGGATTTATTATGAAGACTAGGAGCAGTTCAATAAATTCAAATCCAGAAGCTTCTCAAAGTTCAATCAACAAAATCTATGGCGTCTTCTCAAACAATGACGCCCAATTGGGTCCCGATTTCGTCTTCAGGGACTACCGAAATGGAGTTGGTTCGAGGAGTTGCAAGGCTCTTCGTGTTCCTTGTGTCGTAACCGGTTTTCGTCCGGGCACGAAATATTAAATTTGGCGGGGAAATTGATGTGAATAAATAATTTTGAAAATAATTTGTGAGTCGCCATCGGCCTTTTGGGTCAGGTAGGTCGAATACCTAAAAAATATCTTTTGAAAGAGTTTTTAAGAAAACATCAATTAAAAGATAAACTGATCTGCGTTTTAACCAAAAATTCGTTCTTTTTAATAATAAAAAGGGATTCGTGGTCGGTTACGTTTAGGGAAGGATTAGCACCCCTACAACGCCCAAAATTGGTACTTTTTAATTATAAATTGTCTCTATTATTAAAATTTAAAAATTCAAAAAAAATATATTTAATTTATAATTCTATTATTTCAAAATTATATAAAAAATATTTATTTATTTAAAAATATCAGAAAAGAACTTCTAGGTGCCTTAAGACAGCTCTTTTCTTTGATATTGATAAATATTAATTTAAATAATATTGTTTAAAAAATATCAGAATAGGACATCCAGTTGTATTAAGACTGTCCTTTTCTTCGATATTAAAAATAAACATTAAAATTTATTCCAGATTTATTATATATATATATTTATGAATACATAAAAATATTAAAAAATATAAACAAATAAAATTAAAACAATAAAAATACCACTAAAACAATATATTTTAAAAGCAATAAAATAAATGAAAACTTATAAATTAAATGACTAAATTATAGTAAAAATGAAATTAAAAACTTAATTCAATATTAATCAAAGTTATAAGGATTAAATATGTTATTTCTTTATTTTATTTATTTAGTGACTAAAATAAAATTATCTAAAATTCGGATATTAAAATAAAATAAATTAAAAATATAAACTAAGGATTAAAATATTATTTATTAAAATTAAGGGATTAAATCTGTAATTTATCCTAAATATATTATTTTAATATGAAGGACTAAAATAAAAAGAAATTAAAATTCGAAAACTGAATTAAAAATATTATAAATTCAATTTAGTGACTAAAATGTAAATTTTACAAATTATGAGGACTGCGGACAGGGTTTAACTATTGTATAATTACGCGCATAGTCCTTCCCGAAACGACGTCGTTCGGGAAGGCCTATATATGGTCCAAAACCGGCTGGCCCGAAGGGCCAGCCTTCATTTTTCATTTCATTTTCTCTCTCTAAACTGAGAGAGTTTTAAAACTCTCTCGCCTATCTCTAGCTTCCCTCACCGGAGGGAAGCCGGTCACTGGACGGCAACCGTGTGCCGCCGTGATTATCACCGCCGGCCACCGCATCCGGTGGCCGGAAAAAAATATTTTTATACTAATAGATAGATCGGACCGTCCTAAGGACGGTTCCGGTATTATTTCCTCCTAAAAAGCTCCCAATCGGAGCGAATCTACAAAAGTACCTTCGGTGTTTCGAAGGTTCCGGTGAGATCCGGTGACGGTTGGGGTTCTCCGATGACAGGGTAAGCTTCTTTCCTCTCTTCTCTCTTTTTTTCTTGCTGCGTTGATGTTGACTGAGATCGTTGGTATATTTTAGTATATTTTTTCTCTGTTTTTTTTTCCTCTCTATGTTCTCTCTTTTTTTCTGTTTCTGTCTCTGCCTCTGTCTCTGTTCTTTTTTTCAGGTTGGGGTGGTGGCTTTTATAGCCACCACCGTTGTAGCCGTCGGACCGGTTCGAAGAATGCTCTTTGGTGAGTCACCGGATTCCCAGTGGTGACTCACCGTTTGGGGAAGACGTGTGCGGCTACGGAGGCGGCGAGAAAGTGTCGGCAGTGAAGGCTTCTGGAAGCAGCAGCGGTGGCGCTGGGACGTGTCCCTAGGGTATAGATACCCTAGGGTTTCCTCTGGCAAACTGTGGACCGTTGGATCAAACCAGATCCAACGGCTGGGATTGAAGATGGCGGCTGGTTTAGATTAGGGTTAGGAAACCCTAACTGGAAACCCAAATGTTTAGGGTTTTTGGTTTGATTTGGACCGGTTCTGGTTTGTTTGTAACTGGGCCGGTCCAGTTGTAATTGGTCTGTAATTATTATTTATATATATATGTTTAATATATATTTAATAATAATAATAATGATGATAATAATAATAATAATAATAATAATAATAATAATAATAATAATAATAATAATAATAATAATAATAATAATAATAATAATAATATGGGTAAAAAATTAGTATCTTCAGCTGCCCTTCTTTGTTCATTCTTGTGTTAACAAGAATAGGGCAAAGATGAAAAGATAATAAATTTTTTTATCCATTTGGCTTCACTTGATTATAATGGAGATATTGAATAAATTCTTCTCTTTCTTCAGATGAGTTCTTCTCATTATGAACTTTCTGCTGGGGATGATGATCCATCAAATGATGAATTCAAGCAAAAGATTGAACAAGTTCTTCTCATTATGAACTTATTCTTCCTTCTTCAGATGACGAGTTCTTCTCATTATGAACTCTACCTGGCAATGTTGATCCATTAAATGATGAATTCAAGCAAAAGATTGAACAAGTTCTTCTCATTATGAACTTCTTCTTCCTTCTTCAGATGACGAGTTCTTCTCATTATGAACTCTACCTGGCAAAGTTGATCCATCAAATGATGAATTCAAGCAAAAGATTGAACAAGTTCTTCTCATTATGAACTTCTTCTTCCTTCTTCAGATGACGAGTTCTTCTCATTATGAACTCTACCTGGCAAAGATAATCCATCAACTTGATGAATTCAGAAAAAAGGTTGAACAAATTCTTCTCATTATGAACTTCTTCTTCCTTCTTCAGATAAGTTCTTCTCATTATGAACTTTCTCTGGAAAAGACTGATCCATCAAATGATGGATTCGGGTAAAAGGTTGAACAAATTCTTCTCATTATGAACTTCTTCTTCCTTCTTCAGATGAGTTCTTCTCATTATGAACCTTCTCTGGAAAAGATAATCCATCAATTTGATGAATTCAGGTAAAAGGTTGAACAAATTCTTCTCATTATGAACTTCTTCTTCCTTCTTCAGATGAGTTCTTCTCATTATGAACTTTCTCTGGAAAAGCTAATCTTTCAAATGATAGATTTGAATCTTTGCTAAAATCTTTGAAATTCCTGTTAAAAATTCAACAAGAATAAAATGAATGAAAATGCACCTATTTTTGTAAACACCTAAAATATGATGCATGAATGTTAAGTTATTTGATTTCAGATTGGTGAATTGAGTATTTCTTCAATTGTAAAAACCCAATAGATCTTTCTTCTTCAAAACAAAGAATCTATCATCTTTGACAAATGTAGATGTAGATATAATGTCACAAAACCTCTTGAGAATAAAACTCAATAGTATAGGCTCTTGAAAAGCTTGCATTCAGGCAACATGTTGATTCTGATAACAATTCATCTGATTATGAAGTGACCTTTCAAGATGATTTCACAGATATCGATAGTTCTTCTAATACCGAGAAATCTTGACTTCTGATTCTGATGAGGAGAATAAACTGTTATACTTGACAAAAATGGGATTATCATGGGCTGAAACTTCAATAGCCCTGGAGAAATGTGGTCCAGATTCATCAATTGCAGAATTGGCAAATTTTATATGTGCCGCTCAAATGACTAAGGCTGCTGATGCACTTCTTCTGGTAAAAAATAGGAAGTCATTATGCAATGATCCCAATTACAAGCAAAGGCAAAACTCGGGCTATGATTTTTGAAAAGGAAGAAGCAGAGGAAGCTTGAAAAGAAGCTTCTTAATGAAGATAATCATGCAATTCATCTTTTAATTCCAATGATTGGTTCTGTAGTTCTTACCAAACCAGATCAGATAACTCAAAGAACACTTCCAGAAGATGCTATTAGCAAATTCATCTTCCAAATTCAATGATTGGTTCTGCCAAACCAGATCAGATAACTCAAAGAACACTTCCAGAAGATGCTATGAGCATATTCATCTTCCCAATTCAATGATTGGTTCTGCTAAACCAGATCAGATAACTCAAAGAACACTTCCAGAAGATGCTATTAACAAATTCATCTTCTAAATTCAATGATTGGTTCTGTCCAACCAGATCAGATAACTCAAAGAACACTTCCAGAAGATGCTATGAGCACATTCATCTTCCATTTAATGTTTGGATTAGGATATCACAATGCTTATTCGATGTAGAGCCAGAATTTGTAGATTCGAAGCATTTCCATGCTACTACACTGAAAAGGGCTATATTCATAATTCTGCCAATTAAGAACAGATTTTCTCTTTATTCTGCTTCCTCCATGTGCTGATGCTTTTCCATTGACAAAGAAATGATGGCCTTCCTTTGAGTGTCCAGAAGTATTTTCTTGATGAATACTGAAAATGGAATCTAGTATGGGTTGGAAGGAATAAAGTTGCTCCACTTGAACCTGATGAGGTGGAAATGCTTCTAGTTTTCTTTAAAAACCATACACAAAGATCTGTATAGAGACATATTTCCCAGTG